TAGTTGGTGCTGGAGGAGGATCTCTTGGGGTTTTGTGCCGGATTTTCTTTTCGTTTTTTGTTTGTTTAAACAGTTTTTTCTCCTTAGTCTCTAGTTTGGGAGCATGAACCCCAAGAAGCTTCTCTTGAGTCCAGGATCCCCATGCTTCTGAACCTTATACTCTTGTTTGCTGCACTTGGCACAACATGGTGGTTGTTATGGAAGTAGAGAGCAGAAAAGTTTAACATTCTTTAGAATATACAAGTACCTTACGTTGATGTTTTGTGGGGGTTTTTTGGGTTTTTTTGTTTTTGGTACGGGAGATCGAACTCGGAACCTTGCACTTTCAAGGCAGGCAGTAGAACCACTGAGCTAAATCCCCGGCCCCAAACTACATATTCCACTCCACCACCACCCCCATTCGATCAGAGATGTCATTCCCAGTGACTGGTCACACTCCAGGATACTGCATCCTTCCCGGTGGGTGTCTGTTTCCCTAGTGTTCTATACTGATCCAACAGGACCGGAATTGATGTCATTGGCTGGATCACTCAGCATTTCCCTAGACTGCTGTCTTTTCTCTCTGAGTTGCCATGTTTTTCCATGTCCACTTGTAACATTCTACTGTTTTGTTGTTGTTGTTTGGGGGTTTTTTTTGTACCAGGGATCGAACTTGGGACCTTGTGCTTTCAAAGCAGGCCGGGAACCACTGAGCTAAATCCCCAGCCCAACATTCTACTGTTAATTCAGTATTCATATCTTAGAGGCCTAGTTGATATTCCTTCTATTTTTGTGTTTTTTCTCCCTTGCTACTATGACCCATAATCATCCAGACATGAACCTAGTCTCCTGCTAATGTAGAAAACCCAAGCTTGGGGCCGGGGATTTAGCTCAGTGGTTTCGCTGCCTGCTGCACAAGCGCAAGGACCCGAGTTCAATGCCCGGCACCAAAAAAAAAAAAAAGAAAAAAGAAAACCCAAGCTGGATGTGGTGGCACACACCAGTAATCCCAGAAGTTGGAAGCCTGAGACAAGAATATGGAAAGTTCATGCTCAACCTGGGCCATTTATCGACTTAGTGAGACTCTGTCTGAAAATTAAAAAAAAAATACAAAGGGCTGGGGATGTGCCTCAGTGTGAAGGCCCTGGGTTCAATCCCCAGTACCAGGGGAAAAAATTTCCACACAACTTTAGAATTTCAAAGTACATTGTTAAACTTAAGATATTGTGGGGAAAATCTCAAGTAGTTGAAGCTGCTGGGAATCACATAGGCCAAATGCTAGAGGATTATATTATAGAATATCAAAAAGAAGGTAAGAAAAAAAAAGATAAGACCTCCATAATAGCAATCATGGGGCTGGGGATTTAGCTCAGTGGTGCCGCCGCCACCTGCCTCACAAACACAAGGTCCTAAATTCAATCCCTGGTACCAAAAAATAAATAAATAATTTTAAAAATAGCACTCATGAGAGGCCTCACCTCCTGCTTCTTCTTCAATAGCCAGAGCTGATCCTGTGTGTTTGAGTGGCCTCCTTTATCCAGATACTCCACCTGGATGGAAGAGGATGATAGGGAAGATAGTGTGATGATGGGCAGGTGAACATCCATAAAGTCTTTGGAAAAATTAAAGTTTTAAACAACTCAAAACAACATAGACACCAAGGGGAATCATTGATTACATTTGTGCTACAGGCAGAGGTGGCCTGACAGCAGGAACTAGGCCAATATGAGGTTCACTCTTGCATATCTCTCAGGGTTATTCTCTTTATTGTTTCCTTAAAACTAGGGACTGAGGTAACTCATTCAAGACCCCTCCTGTCTCTCAGGAGCTATGCTTATTCCACATTCCTATTCCCCAATAAATTTTCCTACTCAGAAAAAAAAAAACACTAGGGACTGAGTTTCATGTTTGTCTTTTCAGACAGGCATCTTAATCCCCCCAAAAGCAGAGTTCTGAGAAAGGGCCATTTGGTTTAGGTCATGTGGTCATCCCTGATGTAATCAGGGAGATGGGAAGAAACATAAGGGTATACTGGGCATGGTGGCACATGCCTGAAAATGGCTACAAGTTGGAGGCCAGCCTGAGCTACAAATTGAAACCCTGTCTCAAAAAAAAAATGTACTTTTAGACAAAGACAGCAGATGTCCACCATAGTCACCAAAATAATATAGAAAAGGGGAGTTAGCCTGACTAAATAACATAGAAAAGGGGAGTTAGCCTGACTTGGTGGCACATGCTTGTAACCCCAGAACTCTGGGAGGCTGAGGCAGGAGGACTGCAAGTTCATTCCCAGCCTGGGCAACTTAGAATTTAGTGAGACCCTGTTTCAAAAAAATAAAGAAAGGGTTGGGGACATAGCTCCATGAGGAGGCCCTGGCTTCAAATCCCTAGTACCACGAAAAAGAAATATTAAGTCAGTGGCTACTTCGGGGCTAAAATCATCTGAGTAATCATGTAATGAGTGGCTAATGGAGCATAGCTATTGCCTTCCTATTTAGTTGAGGTTATTATAAAGCAGGGTTTGGGGTTGGAGTACTGTTTTGTGCAGGTCAGTAGCTGGCTTGAGTGGGAAAATGGTTGAACTATTTCTCTGGAGTTCCAATAGAACAGATACTGGGTTTGTAGCTCAGTGGTAGACTGCTTGCCTCTGGCATGGATGAAGCCCTGGGTTTCCTTCTCCAGCGATGGAAAAAAACAGACCAAAAAACACTGTTCAGTGATGTTAGGGTTGCAGGACTGTGCTGGGTGTGGAATGGAAACTCAGTTAAATCTCAGATTTGAGAGTTGCCCCAAAACCCTGGGAAATGGAGGGCTATGTGGATAGGACTGTTCTCTGGAAAGTCCTGTGACCACTTATTTCTTGTGCCTTCCCACCACTCTGTTTTCCTTTTTCATCTTTAGGACCTCAAATTGTTCTGGGTACAGAGAATAAGGCTATTTATGGAACAACTGGATGGAGTTAGGCAGTGGACCCAGGGAAGACAGAGACCTGGGACTACAGCAGGATGGACACACTCCCTGGCTGGTTGGCCGTTCTGGGGAAGCAAACACATTAGCTTGATTTAAGAGTGCCAGTTCTTGGGCCCCCTCTCATACAGGCTCATGAATCCAGGTGCTGTTTATTCACTCAAAACTCCTAAGTTTCTCCATTAGTTCAGCCTTCTCCTCTGTATTCCAGACAGGAACACCCAACTCAGTACTCCACTTAGTCTATTTAGATATCTGACAGAAGCCAGGTGTGGTGGGGCACAACTGTAATCCCAGCACTCAGGAGATTCAGGCAGGAGGATTGCTACAAGTTCAAGGCCTGCATGAGCTACATAGTGAGACCCTGACTTTTTTGCTCTTTCAAGGTTTTGGGGTTTTTTTTTTTTCAGTACCGGGGATCAAACTCAGGATTTTGCACATGCTAGGGAGGTATGGCACCACTGAGGTAAATTCCTGACCCTGTCTCAAAAAAACAAAAAAAAGTTTAACCGGTTTTGGAAACTTCACATCTAAAAAATCAAGATCAAACTCTTCCAGTCTTCCTCATTGATTTTACTTTGTTTTGCAGCACTGGTGATTGATTTCAAGGACTTGGGCATGCTAGGGACACATCCTACCACTGAGCTATATCCCCAGTCCTCTTCCTCATTGGAACTCTTCCTCATTCTTCATTGGAATTGTTGGTAATTCCATTTCTTCAGGAATTTAAGTCCAAAACTAGATGTCATCCTGACCTTTCTCTCTATCACCATGAAAAAAATTTATTTTGGTACCGGGAATCAAACTTAGGGCCTTGAACTTGCCAGGCAGGCACTGTGCCACTGAGCTGCCCCATGAAATTTCAAATTCTTCCTTCATCCAGACCACCATGCCCAACTCCTACCACCCTGACTGAAGCTGCCTTCCTCTCTGGCCTGTATTATTGCACTAGCCTATTTGTATCCTTCTTTTCCTGTTGCCTGTCAGTCTAATACTTTGCAAAACATGTCAGATGATGTCCTTCTACTAAAAATCCTTCAGTGACTTCCCTTTTTTCTTTTCTGAATAAAAACCAAAGCCTATATGATGATTGATTTGCAGTACTGAGGACTGAACTTAGTGCTTTCTCACTGACCTACATCTCCAGCCCTCCTTTATTTTTTATTATGAGGCAGGGTCTTGCTAACTTAAAATTGCCCTGGCTGGGCTCAAATTTGTAGTCTTCCTGCCTCAGCTTCCCAGAGTTCTGGGATTAGAGGAATGAGCCACCAACCCCAATTCTTAGACAATAATTTCTAAGATCCTGTGTGAACTTGTTGCCTTCCCTTTGTTCTCTGATCTCATCTTCTTCTTCTTCTTTTTTTTTTTTGGTACCAGGAATTGAACTCGGGACCTTGGGCTTGTGAGGCAGGTGGTGGAACCACTGAGCTAAATCCCTGGCCCCTGATCTCATCTTCTATCCCTTTCTCCTTCTTCATTCCATTCACACTTGGTTATGTTTCTGGAATATCTAAGCACACTCTTGCCTCAGGAATTTGGCAGTTGCTGCTCCCTTTGCCTCCACACTTTCCTCCCAGGTAGCCAAGTGGCTCACTCCCCTACTTTAAGGGTTTCACTCAATGTCACCTAATCAGTGATTTTTTTTTTTTTCTTGACCATTTTAGAAAATTGCAATCCCATCCCTTCAGATTGATTTTTCTCACCTGCACTTTCCAGCATCCGACATACCCTATATTCTACTTATTCGACACTGTGTACCCACAGTACCTGGAACACTACCTGTTAGCATGGAAGGTGTTCCACAGAGTTTTGATGGAATGAATGAATAAATGAATGCGATCTGGGAGCTCCGTCTCTGCTCCCCCCTCCAGTTGGGGCAGCGGCCAACTGAGTGATGATGCAAGTGACCACTCTGTGTTAGAGTACCCAGCATCGGCCCCGGGGCAACCACAGTTTCGCAAGGTCAATCAGCGGACAGCGAGGCCAGGGGCGCGGGGCGGGGCCGGGGGTGCGGGGCGGGGTCGGGCGCCTGCGCCGTAAAGTCCGCTGTGCGCTGAGTCTCCAGTCGGCTCGCTGCGCCTCCTGCCCCTCCTCCTCCACCTTCCTCCTTGCGCACGCCCCAGTCCGTGCTCCCTTCTGGTTCTGCCATGGCTGCGCTCACCCGGAACCCGCAGTTCCAGAAGCTGCAGCAGTGGCACCGCGAGCACGGTTCTGACCTCAACCTGCGCCGCCTCTTCGAAGCCGACAAAGAACGCTTCAACCACTTCAGGTACGCACGTGGGGCCGGGGGAAGGGGCCCCGGGGGACCCCCGCCGCAGACAGGGCCCGGGCCATGGCCACATTTTGTCCTTGACGCCACCTTGGCGCAGGGACCCGGTGGCCTGGGGGCCGGGCTGCTTGGTCATGGGGGAAGGGACCCCTCCTCCTCTCTCGCGCCCCTCCCAGCCCCCCCCCAGCCAGGTGAGCGCGCCCCCTAACGCCCCGGTGAGGAGGGGCCCGCACCGACGCAGGTGGTGGAGAAGAGCTGCTCCCGTCCACCTCCCCCTGCCTACAAAGGCTTGGGGCCGTGAGCGGGCAGGGTGGGCACGTGGGGGTGGGGTGGCTTGCGGGGAGTTGGGGTGTTCAGAGTGGAAATGTCTAGATTCAATTCCTGCTGAAGCGGCTAAGACGAGAAGCTGATGAACCACGGGGAAACGGAAAGAAGCGTGGGAGGAAGTCTTTGATAGGGATTCGTCCCAGTGTGCTCTGACCGCTGGTGTTGGAGAAGGAGAGGCAGGAGGGGACGGGAAGACCGCCTATGGCTCCCTGCTAGCCAGCCCAGACGTCTGAGTGGGTGCCTGAGGAGGCGCTGGGGCGGGGGGGCATTCCCTGGTGCTGCAGGGCAGTTGCACCCCTTGTCTTCCCAGGCCATGACTCCTTGCCCAGGGTCTGTCTGCGTCTCAGTTCTGTGGCATGGGTTCCACTGTGCAGCTGCTGCAGGTCGGCTGGGCAACCAGAGCCCTTTTGGGGTGTGGCACAGGAAGGATGTTTCTTCTGGAAGCAGCTCCTGCCTCTGGTCTGGTCGGGGGTGGCTGAGGAGACCTGGGTGTGGTCAGCAGCCTCTGCCTCTTTCTTCAGCTTGACTCTCAACACCAACCATGGGCATATTCTGTTGGATTACTCCAAGAACCTTGTGACGGAGGAGGTCATGAAGATGCTGGTGGAACTGGTAATGTTCTGTTTGGGGAACTTTGACCTGTGACCCTCAGTATGCCAGGCGAGCTGAGCTCTTGGAAACCTGAGGTCCATGAATAAGTGGACCTCAGTAACCACCTGTATGCTGCTGCAGGGCTCCAAAAACCTGCCCTTGGTCAGGTTCTGAGCAGAATCCCTAGGAACCCTAGTGCCTGGTGTTTGAGCACATTGGCTCCAGACATTGGGAGGAGGAGACAGGTTGCAGCTATCTGCCAGCTCTTTTGACAGTAGGACCCTGCCTTGTGTTGGGGGCTTAGATCAACATGGTAGCAGCAGGCCTGAGTATCTTCTCTTCCTAGGCCAAGTCCAGGGGTGTGGAGGCTGCCCGGGAGCGCATGTTCAGTGGTGAGAAGATCAACTACACCGAGGTGAGCAGCCCTGGTGGATACATTCCCCCAGTGCCTCTTCCCCTCCTTTGAGGTTCGTCCAACTGTTAGTATCATCCTGTGTCTTCTTCCTTCCTCTTAGGCAATGCTTTTGCTTAATGAGGGGCCAGAGGACCTGTTTCCTTGGAGGCTGGTTGCAGGGATTTAGGGCCTGTCTTCCCCAAGACTGGCAGGCTGGCTTTGGTGAGCAAATTGAAATGGCTCCCAGTGTTGGCTCAGGGAGAAGCACATCTTAAGCCTGAAGAGAGAGAATTTCTCAAGGCTTGTCAGACATTTTCTTAGAGAACTTAACTCGCTTGATTTATCAAGAAGACTCTCATGTCACAATTTAACTTCCTCAGTGATAGAAGTCAGTAGGAAGCAGTGGTGAGGCCAGGCACTGAGGACCCTGTTCCTGACTTGCTGTGAAAGTCTGAGGGGATAGTAAGCATGGAACACTCAGTCTCTGTCCTCATGGTATCATTATCCTCCTGTTTTGCTTGAAGAATCTGAGGCTTGGAGGTCCAGTCACTAAGACCACCTGAGATGTGGTCGCTATAAGAGGCAGAGCTGGGATTAAAATGCAACCCACTTTGAAGCTGGGCGTGGTAGCGCTTGCCTGTAATCCCAGTAATCGGGAGGCTGAGGCGGGATTGTGGAGAGTTCAAGGCCAGCCTGGGCTATGGAGTGAGACCCTATCTCAAAACAAAACAAAACAAAAAAACCTATCTAGGTCTGCTGGGTGAGTGGAAGGAAGGCTGCAGTCATGGAGGGCTTCCTGTAGGGGTGCAGTTGCCTGTGGAATGTGGGAGGAGAGGGAAGGTTGGGCAGGGTGGAGATGGGATGCCCTGAAGCCCTCCATCTGAGTGAGCTTCTCATTGTGTTGGCATCCTGAGATAATCCTTCTCCTGCGCGCTAAAGACTCCTCCACAAGCTTCAGCTGGATGGAGCCATTTCATTCTTGTGACCAGGCCAGTTGCCTGGCACCTGTCGCAGACTTTGGGTCTGGTTTGGTTTGGGGCAGATGGTAGTGATCAACTCACTTGATGAGGGAAGATTGTATTGCCTGCCTTTGCTCCATATCCAGATGGCTGAGGACCCTTCAGAAGGTGCTAGCAGACACCATGTCGTCTCATCAGGAGGATGAGGTTACCTCAGGCCTAAGGAGCCTGGTCCACTGTAGGCATTTAGTGCTTATCTCTGACCTGTGTAGTCACCACTCTGTCTTTGCTTGTGCTGTTCCTCTTTCCTCTGGCTGTTTGCCTCCTGACCACTGATGGGCCTTCGGGACCTGTCCTGAGTTTATTCAGGCCCCATTCCACCCGTTTCTCATGTCTAGCACACCAGGACATGGGACATGCTTTCCCTCTCCTGGAGTCCTGGGCTGGCTCCTACCCCCTTAAGCATACCATAGGACTTTGGTATGAGACTGTGGTACTAATAGACACTTAAGGGCTGCCATGGCCTTGGTGCACCATGTCCAGTGTGGAGCATGGCTCCCTGGGTGTGTGGGGTGGGGGCTTCTTCACACTGTGACCCTTGTCCCCAGGATCGTGCAGTATTGCATGTAGCCCTACGAAACCGGTCAAATACACCCATGCTGGTGGATGGCAAGGATGTGATGCCAGAGATCAACAGGGTTCTGGACAAGATGAAGTCTTTCTGCCAGGTAAGCAGAGGCTGGACTGGACTTGCCCTTGGCCACTTGTGTGCCTGTGTTTGGGAATCAGGGAGCCCTTATTCGTGACTCCACCACTGCTTTAGAGGCAGGACACAGTCCCTCGCCTCAGCCTCAGGTAGGGGCAGCCTGTGTGATTGCTCACCCTGGAGTGTTTGCTCAGAGGGAACCACCCTGACAGCAATGCAGGCAGCCTCTTTTCTGAGCTGCAGACACCTCTGGGTGCATAGAGCCAAGCTGGCCAGTGACAGAGGCCTGAAATTAAAAGAGATGGGATGGTGAAGGGAAGAGACTTCTTCCATTCCGTCTCTTCAGTTACGTACCCTTCCTTGTTGCCCAGCTAGAATCAGATGTAAAAAAAAAAAAAAGAATTGTAAAAGTTTCTTGACCCCACTCTCAGCCAGCTCTCATAGATTCCTAGGAATTCTTTCCCCAAGTTCCTATCCATGTACTAGCATATGTGTGTATATAGGCATCTATCTTCTCTTTGAAACACATCCATACACAGGTTCATTTTTCTACTTGCTCTTTGAGAGCTTATTTCCACTTAGAAACATATAAGAGAGCTGGATGTGGTGGTGCATCCCTATAACCCTAGGACCTTGGCAGCCTGAGGCAAGAAGATCACAAGTTCAAGCCCAGCCTGGGGAACTTGGTGATTTAGTGAGACTCTGTCTCAAAATTTAAAGGGGGGCGGGGGGAATATAGCTCAGTGCAAAAGCCCTGAGTTCAATTCCCAGTACAGGGGGTGGGAGGGAGGCAAGTGATCTCACTGGGTTGGATTCAGTGTACATAACCATGCCTCTTTTCTTGTGTGTGGTGGGTATTTGGGGATGCCCATGTCTGCCACTGTTGCCTCAACATCCCAGGGGTGATTCTGCAAGGGTGGACAGCCAGCAGCCAGCCTGGAGTCCAAGGGTGACTCCTGGGGGCCTGTGTGCACGTATGTCTGTTCCTGAGTGATGCATGCTCTGGGAGTGATCATCTGGTCAGCTGTGCTCTTTCACTGCTCATTCCTGAAAGCTGCAGCTCTCTCGTGTGACCAATCAAAGTCTGATTGCTTTGGCCAAGAGCCATTTCAGGCCTGAAAACAATACTGGGAGTTGGAGGCAGTTTTGGTATCAGTCTTTAAGGTGTAGCAGCCACATAAGTGGAACTTCCTGCAGTGAGGAAGGAATGGCATCCTGATGGGAATCTGGACTCCAGAGTGTTCTGGAGAGTTTCGGGTGGTTGGTCCATGTGCCTTTGGCTGTGAGGAAGGGCTTGTCTACCACTGTGAGTGGCAGAGCTGACAGTTCTCAGGAGCTCGGTGCTGCTCTGTTTGACCAGCCTGTGTGCGTGTGTGTGTGTGTGCATGTGCATGCACAGTGTGGCACTGGCTGTCTTGAGGACTCTTTCCAGGATAGCCCTCCTTAGAGCAGGCTACTTGAAGCCTGGCTCAGGCTGATGAGGTATTTATAATTCAAAACATACTGCTGAACAGCAGCAATTCCACAGTGGCTGTTGCTGTCAAAAGTCCAGCGAGGGGCTCAGGATGCGACTCAATGGTAGAGCACTTCCTTACCATCCACAAAGCCCTGGGTTCTATGCCCAGCACCACACACCAAGCAGATGTTTGCTGTGAGCTTGACTGTAGTGACAAAACCCAAAACAAATTGCCTATTTCAAAAGCCAATGGAGAGAATTTTGAATGTTCCCATCACAAAGAAATGGTAAATAAATGTTTGAAGTGAGTGATGGATATGCCTGTTACCCTGATCAAATCGTTACACCTCATATACATGTATTGAAATATCACACTGTACCCCATAAATACATGTAATTATGTGTCAATTAAGAAAGAGATCCAGGGGCCAGGGATTTAGCTCAGTGGTCCTGCTGTCTGCCTTGCAAGTGCAAGGACCCGAGTTCAATCCCCAGTACCCGAGTTCAATCCCCAGTACCAAAAAAAAAGAAAAAGAGATCCTTTAGTTCATAAGTGCGATGATTGGGTGTTCACACCATTGTGTGAGATGTTTGACCCTTGAACCTTGTTATGTCAGCATATACCCTTCTGATGTTTAAAAAAAAAAAATACACACACACACACACACACACACACACACACACACACACACACATATTGGTACCGGGCATTGAACTCAGGACCTTGTGCTTGCGAGGCAGGTGCTGTGCCACTGAGCTAAATCTCAGGCCCCCCCAAAAAAAATTTTTTTAAAGGCTATGGAGCTAGGCCAGGTGTGGCACACACCTGTAATACCAGCACTTCAGAGGCTGAGGCAGGAGGATGACTGCAAATTTGGGGTGAGCATGGGCTACACAGTAAAAGGCCAGCGTGAACTACATAGTGAGACCCTGTCTCAAAATATCCAAAAATAAATAAATGAATGATAGGGAACTGCACATGGTGGTGCACACCTGTAATCCCAGAGCCCTGGGAGTCTGAGGCAGTGTGATTTTAAATTCAAGCCCTGCCTGGACAATTTAGCAATTTAGTGAGACTTTGTCTCAAAATAAAAAGGGGCTAGCGGCGGGGGGGTTTAGCTCAGTGGTTCCAGCACCTGCCTTGAAAGTGCAAGGTCCCAAGTTCCATCCCCCCAAAATAAATAAATAAATAATTTAAAAAATAAGGGGCTACTGGGAATGGTGGCACACACCTATAATCCCAGCACTCGAGAGTCTGAGGCAGGACGATCACCAGAAGTTCGAGGCTAGCCTGAACTACATAGCAAGACCTTGTCTCAAAAAAAGCAAAAAATTAAATTAAAAAATAAAAAGAGGCTGTGGACGTAGATCAGTACAAAGGCCCTGGGTTTAACTCCCAGTATTCAAAAAAAAAAAAGGCAGAATATGGAAAAATCAATTTGTACTCTTTTATCAGAGTACAAACAAGTGTGGATATCTAATCAGTGTGGATATCTGATTAGTATGTTATAAAGCCTCATCTAATCCAAGACAGGATATGAGTAGTTAACTAAAGATACAGATACTATAGCTATAGGGTATGGTGGTGAATGCCTGTAATCCCAGCACTTTAGGAGGCTGAGGCAGAGCTATGTAGTGAGTTCAAGGGCTGCCTGAACATACTAAGATCCCGTCTCAAAAAACAAAAGATACATATATATATATTTTTTTCCCAGTCTAAGAATTTTTTTGGGGGGGGTTGCTTTATTAACTAGCAGTTAGGGTCGGGGATTTAGCTCAGTGGTTTCACCGCCTGCTGCGCAAGCACAAGGACCTGAGTTCGATCCCCGGTACCAAAAAAAACAAACTAGCCGTTAGCGTTGGCTTTGGGAGGCTTCAGTTCCTCACCTGGTGGCCTCTGCACAGTTTAAGTACCCTCTTGTCAAGACAGCTGTTTGTCTGAGTTAGTAACCCAGTAGAGAACAAGGTAGTGCCTATCCCCGCAGTCCCCTGTTGTACAGATCATCTTTGCTCAGCCTGAGAAAAGAATCACTGGTAACCATCTTGGAAATGCCATGGTTTGCCTCAGCTCTCCATTTTTCACCTTCCATGTGCAAAACACTGGACTCAGTTTCTCCTAAGATCACATCCCATCACAGTACAGCTAGAAGGTCAGACCTCGTCATCTAGGTTAGGTACAGTCATAGTAGTTCCTCCATTTTCTTTAGTACAACTCCAGTGCTGTTCCTTTGGATCTGAGAGACCTGTTGTCTACCTCTCACAGAAGCATAGAGGGGTGAGATAGGCATGGGGTAGCTGATCCAGGATAAATACTTTTCAGAGAGAGAGAGGTGAAAATAGAAGGCACACGAAAGTCATCAGTAGGGCCGGGGATCTAGCTCAGTGGTTATGCTGCCTGTCTTGAAAGTGCAAGGACCCAAATTCGATCCCCAGTAGCAAAAAAAAAAGTCAT